TCCAGCAATTCTCGAAGGTTAGTAATATTCCTGAAGATCGTAAATTGTTGAAATCATTTTTGTAACGTTTTTAATGGTAAATGTAATTTTTTTTGGAAACACATTTTGCGAACTGAAACGAAACAATCTCTAATCAGTCGCAGAATGAATTGTTAAAATTCGATATAAATTAATACCTTCGAATTTTATCTTTCGAAAACCTATCTCGATATCGTTGAAATTGATAAAAAGAGAAATTTTCTTTTTTTAAACTATGAAATCATCGTTCGTAGCCAAGTGCGTTTAATTCTCATAAATGGTGTTTCTCACCGGGCCACCCCGTTGATTTTTTTTACCGTCTCTATCCCCTTTGTACACGTTTTAAAAATACTCGATTCGCTCGTGAATCGTCTGTCTAGCGATCACAGCCTCGTCTGATCCTCCTCGAACGGGAGAATCCTCGGAACGTTCCCTTTAATCCTTTGCTGCCTCAATGACACACATTCGTGCTTTTAACCCTTTGAATTTTGAACTGATCTGTATTTGAAAAATTTGAGTAATTAAATTTTGTGGCATCTCTTTTTATTTTTGAGATGGTGACTTTCAAACGAAAGTCGAGGAGAGATTTCTCAGGTATCGAAGGGTTAAATTCGTAGTGACATAAAATTTGTGCTTTTGACCCTCTGAGTTTTAAATTAATTTGTATACGAAAATTTAAAGTAATTAAATTCTGTGGAATTTCTTTTCATTTCTGAGATACTGATTTCCTAATGAGAGTCGAGGAAAAATTTCTCAGGTTTCAAGGGGTCAAATTCACAGTGACACAAAATTTGTGCTTTTAACCCTCTAAATTTTAAATTAATCTCTATTTCAAAAATTTAAGTAACTAAATTCAGTGGAGTTATTTCCATTTCTGAGATACTGACTTCCAAATGAAAGTCGAGGAAAAATTTCTCAGGTTCCAAAGGGGGGTTAATTCACAGTGACACAAAATTTGTGCTTTTAACCCTTTCAATTTTAAATTAATCTGTATATAAAAAATTTAAATAACTAAATTCAGTATAATTATTTGCATTTTTGACTTACTGACTTTCAAATGAAAGTTAAAAAAAAATTGCTCAGGTTTCAAAGGGTTAAATAC